AATTTCCTCATTGTGGGACAATAAAGGGATTTACATTACAAGTAAATGCAGGCCTCTCTTGTTTCATTTTTAAGCTTGTGAGACTCTGCATCATTTTCCTCTCACTTCACAACCCTGCAATACTTAGTCAGATGAAATGGCAATAAAAACGAAGCGAGGTTTGTGGTTGTTGCATAATAAAATGTGAATCATTCAAAATGGGCGTTCTATTGCAAGACACACTGCCTAGATTGGAAAGTTGCCAAAAATGTGTTTTAAGTAGACTGTTTGGATTATTATGTATACGGTCATGATTTTATCTAAAGGTCTGACCCAAAATGCAGAAGACCAGGGAAAAGTTTAACACTTTTATTTAAAATATTGAAATGAGTCCACAGTGCTGCTCTAAGCACTGTCAAAACCGGAACTGGAAAGTAAGGGGAAGACACTGCGGTTAGTTCAGGCTCAATGGGAAATTAGATTCTTTGACTTGAAGTGGAGGAATAGGTTGCAGACTCACGTTTCCAGAAAAAGGTGTCTTTATTGAATCCATTCTGTGTGGGATGTTCCAGTGAATGTCTTGTTTGATGATGGGGCGGACAGGGTTTACTCAGACTGCGGTTGTTCCTTGGTGAATGGAGAAGCTGACCGCCACTTAGATTTCCTGCGGTCCTTGAACGGGTTATTGTGGAGATGAATCCCCTCCTCAGAGAGAAGCCCCAGACAATCCTTGGGGAAAAAGGTTGATCCAAACTACAAACTTGAATCTTCAGCTCAGTTTGGTTCTCAGAAGTTCCTTCCAGGGGAGAGAAGGTCTGAAACATCCAGTTTGCAGGATGACTTCCTGCCGAGAGGCAAAGACAAAAACAGCAAGATTAAAACTCAGGTAAACATGAAACTCAGTTTAACTCAGCAGACTCAGCTTGGCTAGAGTACACAAAAACTCAGTTTAGGCTCTGCTAAACTAAGCATGGCTAGAGTATCCTGTATTGGCAAACACTCTGGTGTCGAGATAGTGGCAGTCAGCTGCTTGAGAACACTCCACAGGTAATGAGGCAATGAGCAGCAGGTGTGCAGGGAGACCCAATGAGGACGGGGCACCACCTAGTGGAGAAGGAAAGGAAACACAAAAACAGACCACACAAACTGGATTCCTGACATATACATTTACAGCTGTTTCATCTCATTAACATTTTAACCGTTTATTTAAATTTGTAGTTCTGTCAGTCGTTTACTTGAAGTTTACTTTCTGTAAAGTTAATAAAAACCTTTGTTTATCAGATATATATAGCCTGAAGACATTGATAAAAAGGTTCAGTTCAAAAGCTTATAGAGTTCTTATGGTTTTGGAGTGTCTGAAAAAGCAGTGAATATTTTTTGGAGTATTTTTCCTGCCTGGTCTAATGATTGTTTAAAGAAAGAGTTTAAAATAAAAGCTTGTACTGGATCCCTTTGTAAGGATCCACTGGGATATCTTAACTTAAGCTCCAAAATAAGCTACTTTTCCTGCATTGGTTAAGTAACATTTATAATGTAAAATCTAAGTGATTTATCAGTAAATAATTACCTAAGTTAAAGGCTATGTGCTGTTTTTTTTTTTTTTTTTTTTTTATGAGAAGACAATTAGTCTTTGCTGTCCTTCATGTTCTGTTTTAATCGTTCCCTGTCACCATGGTGGCAGGATTTCCTCCAAATGTATTAGATGTGCTCCAAACTTCATCACCATGGCTACTGAGTTTCTCTCATCTCATTCGCTGTCAGCTGGTGTCATGTTTTCCTCCTGTTGTCTGTGAGCAGTGCTACAACGTCCCATACCTCTCACTGAATATGTTTCTGGGAGGACATCAGAGGGACAGAGACTCTGCCACCGCCTACAGTAAGAGAACCACAACCACTCACCATCTAAAAAGGTCAAAACCACTGAGGTGGATCTGAAAAGTCTGCACATCTCTGTGAAAATGCCAGGTTTTTCCAGGTTTATTGATTTATCAAAGTTTTCAAGGTTTACTTTCGTGCTTATGCTTCACAATTTAACAAATCACATTAATCAGAGGGGGACGATATGTGCACAACCTCAGCACACATCTATCAAAGTGGAAATTGAAGTTTTTGAGTCTTGTTTCCTCAACAACTGACACACTGAATTGTTCTGTGTTTAGCATAGTCTAGTTGTGCTTTAGTCTCCAACAGACTTTAAGGCTTTTGTAGGAGACTATCTTGATTATTCTGCTTTTTTTCCCTGTTATTTCTTTCTGCAAAACCTTTTCAATAAAGTTAGATTTATAAGGATTCAGTCTTGTTAAGTTACCTGCCGGCAATTATAGTTAATCTGGCTACATAAAGACAATTTTAAATACACTATTGGGGCCTTGCACTGGAGAAAATTAACCTAAATAAGTCATGTTTTCTTAAAATAAGCGCATTTGTTCTTGAATTGAGGAGTTAGGTGAGACACTTTGCCAATGGAACAAGACAAATTTCATTTAAAAGAAGTAAAAACAATTGCATTGTCTTATTTCAAGTGCATATTATCTAATTATCTTATTTTGAAGAGTAAAATACTCAATCTGTTGGCAAATCACCTTATTTACCCACTCAAATTAGTGGTTAATACACTTAATAAATTTGTACTTATTTCTAAATCGTTTTTGTAGTGTATATCATTTGCATTCTTGTTTTTAAAGTTTTATTTTGGACAAATCATTCTTTATAGAGATCTTATTGTACAGAAGTTCTCAGCAGGAAGAAGATTTTAACAGGTTTCCTCATAAAACTTTGCAATAAAATCAAAGATAAACTTTAGGGTCATATTTTCCAAAGGCCTCAGAGCCACACTGCTGACTTTAAGCAAGTAGGTCCTGGGTTTAAATATTGGCTAATTCTGCAGTTTGCTCATATATATCCTCCCCCCAGCATGCATTGGTTCTCTCTGGGATCTTACTCCCACAGTTTCAACAGTTCATGACTGTTGAATAATCGATTGTTTGCTTTTTGTGACTGTGTTAGTCTATGATGGACTGGCAAACTGTCCAGGGTTGAGCCATCCTCTCAGCAGTACTTGAATTGAGGGGGGATGAGGGGGGTGGCATCCCCCTTCTATAAAAATATCTTAAAAATCATCCCCCAATATCATCCCCTGTGACATTTTATCACTGAATGTGTAAAATGTCTACTATATATTAAGAGTAATGGCTATAATTCAATTCAGTTTAATTATAGCGCCAATTCACAACACAAATCATCTCAAGGCACTTTAAAGTTCAATCTAAATATAATATATAAATATAATATTGCCCTTTCAACATTTGGCGGGCTGTGGGCTTAAAAGTAGCCTGAGCTAAATAAATAAAATCAGACGAGTGGCCTACCATGACCATGAGCTGATCCCAGGGGGAAATTTGTCCCCTGCATTAGTCAATAACTAGGTCAAGGTCAATGACTGGCGTACCTGACAAGGCAAGGCAAGGCAAGGCAAGGCAAATTTACTTGTAAAGCACAATTCAGTACAAAGACAATGCAAAGTGCTTTACATGATTAAAATACAGGAAAATAAAACAGAATCAAAGCAAGTAGGAAAAAAAAAA